TGGCCAGTGTCTACTAAGTTAAGCTTAGGCTCTGTAGTGCTAGTTGTCATGATGAGGATGATGATGATGACCGTAACTAATAATAGTAGTGATGGCAGTAGTGGTAGCAGTAGTGGTGGCAGTAGTAATTGTTATTAGGGCAGCTATGTGATCAGCCCTTATACTAGAGCACGTTCGCTCCAGGCTCAATCATGCTTCTATGCAAATCAGACACGTAGTTAGCAATTCACGTGCATTGCAAGGCAAAACTTTTGCAAGCATAGTCCTGCAGAATTGATGACTATACGTCACTGTCATGTATAAATGTCCCCACAAGCCACTCGTGGCTAGTCTTACGCAAGGGAAGCACCCGAACTACATAAACCCCCCTGTTAGTTATCACATACGCGAAAGACCGTAAAGACTGCTCAAGGCACAGGCTTCCTTTTGGGCATTTGAAAAGAAAGTTTGTACATAAGTGGAAATGCGATTAACGCTACGTTCTAAGGATGGGAAAGTGCTGTTTTCGGCTTGAAAAGAACATTGAATCAAACAGGACGACATTTTAGCAGACATAAGTGGCTTATGTAGAGAGTACAGACAGATAGTATTGCTGGCAAAGACATAGGAGACTGAAATGGCCATTTCGGACTTATTAGCTGTCGTCAGCCAGTAATACTCAACCCCAAGTGGTGCCTAGACTACTAGGCGCTGTGTGGCTGCTGTCGGGACCCGAGAAATGAGACACAAGGCAGAGCCGAACGAGTTCTGTTAGCGATCGGTGAACGTTCATCAACGAAAGTACGGACGCACACATAGGAAGGCGGGATGGCCGTTTTTGGCTTATTAGCCGTCGTCATCCACATTAAGATTTGCGGGACCTGCGCTTCGAGAACCCGTCATCTTTGGATATGGAGCGTTGTAAATTCCAATGCTTTAACACAGGACCACGGCCAGTCGATGACCAAAGAACAAGGGTTCGAAATCCGGGTCCTACAAACCTGGGTTTGAGTGTTGGTGGTTAGTGACGAGTAATAAGCCAGAACTTGCCTTTATCAGTACTCCCTTCTGCCTGGGCACCAGTGTTGGCTCTAGATTGAGCTTCAAGGCATAACAGGACGCGCTTGCCCAGTAATAATCCGATTAGTGGACACAATTACAACACAAACGTGGCGTCCCTCTACATAAATCATCATGGGGAGTTGCGCAAATTTTAACTGTCGGTTTCGCAGCTTCATAAGTAACCACTGCTGCATCCAGACATAGCAGCGGTCTGCAAGAGCCCAAACAAGATAGAAGTAACCGTTGAATAGTCACTTACCTTTTTCAAAAAATTCGCGGGTTCCTTTAGCGTCGAGTCGCAGCATGGAGGTAAGGAGAGGTTGGGAGATGTTACTGAGGAGATTGGATGCCTGTTCAGATACTTTGTCAAGGAATTTAAGAAGGTTGGGGAAATCCGACCTGCAAACAGAAAAGACAGCCGTTATAACTGCCGGAATCAGCAGTTGGTAAAAAAATTCCCTACAAATTGGGCGCGTTTATATTGGTGTGGTGAGCTGTCGGACTTTCCTGTTCGCCGCAGACTCTTTGCCAAAGATCGTGACATACTGCGGCGCCTAGTGCGGTTTTTCGAACGGGCGTCTAGTTAGCATATTTTAAATTCTTATTTTGCGGCTGGAGCGCCTAGAACTGGAGGATGGACCCGTTTCTTCGTTATTACTTACCTGTAGCGAGAGTGGCCCTTTATCATTTTAGACGATATGCCTGTTCATATTCTATAACTTAAGGCTCCATTGTACGGGCGCATACCAAGTCCGGAGGTGCACATTTTAGTTCCTGAAGGAGTAATTGAGGTGTTACGGACAAAGATGACGGACTAACTAATTTGTCTTCACTAACCAGCGCTCCTACGACTCCCGGACACGAAGGCTTGGGGACTCAAACTCAGGCACACTGGTCATTAAGAGCTCTAGTTTGACGCTCTACTATAAAGCCACGGCTTTACGCCCTTAACTGACTTGCAAGTAGGTGCATGCTTAAGGTAGACAATCTTGCTATCCCCTCGTAAAGGCCAGTGTCCATGTAAATTACCTACTCACGTCAGTCGGATTTCGCTCCGATAACAAATGCCGAACAAAGGGAGGCGGCATGGTGGCACGCGTAGGGGGCGGCTCCGACCGCGACAGCCACCTGCGTCTGATTCCGCCTCCGGTTTCT